CCATTCGCGTTTCAATCGTGATGTAGTTGTGTTTGCATGACTGTGTTTCGGTTTGGGTTGAAGGATATGGCAGGAAATTTACAGTGTACAGAGGAATAATACCTTAATCCTCAAGAATGGCAATGGTATCATGAGCGTAATAGTATATTTACTCTGTTATGTTTACATAACGCTTTATTTAATCATATAACACTTTTTTAACGATGTTGATATTATTAATGAATGCCCAAGTACTTTTAAAAAGCAAAACTCTAAAAGATTCACATTAATTTTTAACTGTTCTTCTTTGCTTAAGCTATTTGTATTATATTTCAAACGAAACTGTGGTAAACGGTGTTGGTGGCAAATTTACTCAATGTTTTCTTTGATTAATATTATGTATTATTCTTTATTTTGTCACTATTAGTTTCCGAAATAAATGAAAAAAAAATGTCCATGGTACTACTTATGACTATAGGCGACGGTTACCACTTTCCTTCAGGTAACCATACTATATGGGTGATTTATCAGAAAATCATAGTGGTCTCATATCTTCAGTACCGTAAAATAACACATTCTAACTTAAGTACACAAACATTTAAACAAACCCGTTTACCATTTGGATGAATGCATTTAGATTCACATAACATTATTTAGATTGCCATGGAACAAAATAAATTGCTCATTGTCCGTTAAGGTGACCATGAAAAAACTAATAAAAACCAATGACTCAACTTACGTTTAGGGATACGCCGTGAAATTAACTTTTCGGTTATTTTTTTTAAAGTCTCCAAATTGTCTTAATTTGTAATATATAAATAAATAGACGAATTTTATATACTAGAGATGACTACGGGAACTTAATGGGCGAGGGATGGACAGGAGAGTCCCTCTTAAAACTTTTTTTTATGTGTGTGTGTGTATGCTTGTCTGGCGTTGTATAGGCGGCGATAGTCATTTACCATCAGGTGAGTCGGATGCTCATTTGCCCCTTGTGTTATAAAAAAAAATTCGTAGCTTCAGAAGAAAAAACCTTTTAAATTAAATAAAAAGTTTTTGCCCGATATGGATAGATACATATTTACCGTATGGTTCCGACATAGAATACACGACCCTTTTCTTTCCCGTAGAAGTCGTAAGAGGTGACTAATACGGCTAAGACTAATGCGGCTGATATGGTATATGTACTTATAACGATGAATTGTGTGAACGCTAATTTTAATCTTATAATTCTCAGCCTGCAAGCGATTTGAGATAAAATGGAAATCTCATCGAATAAACGTCACTATTTATAATAGTGTCGAATAGATGTCAATCTATTCGATTCGAATTTGATTTCAACTCAGTTGCGTTAAAAGTCAACTCGCTCTACACAGTCGTATATATAATCGATTTAAATTGTTCGACATCAAATGGTGTAATGACAATATTCATTTGACATCTTTTTGATTTAATTTCGATTCGATTCGAATCCCAATTCGATCACGTTTTTAACACCGTAATAAAGGTGATCGATCTAATCGAATAGATCGCAATAAAATTCGGAATAAATATAATAATATACCTTGTTGAATATAATACGGAACTCTATTATCAATTTCTGAGCTCGCCCTTCGTATATTTTCATTCATAACAATGACCGTTCAAAAGAGAAGTGATTTCATGGAAAAAATGGTAAGGAGAGGAAAAACAAAAGAAAAATTTAATACCGCGGATTCTTTATATATTTTGTGTAAACAAATAAAGGCGATACTAAATCGTGTCCGTGGCAAAAAAAAAATATCACGTTCATATAGATACCCAATGACCCACGTCCAAATTATAAGCGAATAGCGAAAAATTATTTTCCAAAAACGAAAATGGTAGAATAAGATCAGCCAAAAAAAAAAAACTGTTGCACTCTGAAGTCTTTGGTAAAATTAATACTTACTAGTCAGTAGTACTTTTTTAAACTCCATTTCTTGAATTGAATTACATTATGTCATATTTGTTCAGTTATCAACAGAAAACAGCTAAACACAATTGAAAAATATTTTAGAATCGAATCTGGACCCCCACTTATGTGATACAATGCTTTGTATCATATAATTTAAAAATATCCACAAAATAAATTCGACTTCAACTGTAATAACACCACTGAATATATTTTGATAAAAATTCTTTAAGATCAATCTAAAAGTACATCCTTTCAGAAAAAAAAAAACAAATCGGTTTATGACTGATGGAGTTATGAGGTAACAAACATAAAAAAGACTGCTATATGAATATGTGCGTATATTGCAAAAATCTCCTCCTTTTTTAAAGTCGGTTGCAAAATTACCCATATACTCGTACATATAGTACTGTATATAAAATATTAAGTGCCTCGTCACCTCGGAATTGCAATTTAAAATAAAGTTTTCCAATAAAATGGAACCCAATTTATATTCTGTTGAAGCTGTAATTAAAAACAAGTAATTGAATGTTTTAACTTTGCCTCATTTTTATTACGAGCCAGTATAAAAGTTGAATTAAATTAGACTGGAATATTACTACGTGGTGAAGGAGTAAGAACACCAATAATAATAATTAGAAATGCTTATCGATAACCTTGTTGGTACAAATTAACACAAGAAATATTTATTGACAATCTTGGTAGTTCAGGTTAACACAAAAAATACTTATTGACAATCTTGGTAGTTCTTCTTAACACAAGAAATACGTATTGACAATCTTGGTAGTTCTGCTTAACACAAGAAATACGTATTGACAATCTTGGTAGTTCAGGTTAACACAAAAAATACTTATTGACAATCGCGGTAGTTCTGCTTAACACAAGAAATACTTATTGACAATCTTGGTAGTTTTGCTTAACACAAGAAATACGTATTGACAATCTTGGTAGTTCAGGTTAACACAAAAAAAATACTTATTGACAATCTTGGTAGTTCAGCTTAAGACAAGAAATACGTATTGACAATCTTGGTAGTTCAGCTTAACACAAGAAATACTTATTGACAATCTTGGTAGTTTATCTTAACACAAGAAATACTTATTGTCAACATTGGTAGTACAGTTTAACACAAGAAATATTTATTGACAATCTTGTAGATCAGCTTAACACAAGAAATACTTATTGATAACCTTGATGGTACAAATTAACACAAGAAATACTTATTGATAATCTTGGTGATTCAGTTTAACATAAGAAATAGTTACTGATAACCTTGATGGTACAAATTAACACAAGAAATACTTATTGATAATCTTGGTAGTACAGTATAACACAAGAAATATTTATTGACAATCTTGGTAGTTCAGCTTAGCACAAGAAATACCTATTGATAATCTTGGTGATTCAGTTTAACATAAGAAATACTTATTGATAATCTTGATGGTACAAATTAACACAAGAAATACTTATTGATAATCTTGGTGATTCAGTTTAACATAAGAAATACTTACTGATAACCTAGATGGTACAAAAAACTTATTTTTTTTTCTATAATAAGATTAAATAAATAAGCGTAATAAAAAATCTATGTTTAAGCAGGCTTCACATATATTTTAGCACGTTTCTATGACGTTCTCATAGATTTTACCAGAGGGAGACCAAATACAAAATCGCAATACTATCACTGTCCCAAAGAAGGGTGTGTATATTTCTCAGAAACTGTCCTTCAATATTAGTGTACCGCCTTTATTTTATTCACATTTATGTCGCCGGGGAAAATGTATTTTCCATTTGCAAAAATACTGGAATTGTTTTGCCATAATATTGAAACGTAGCAACTGATCCAACTGGCACCGGTCGCCGACAAAAGAATTTTCAAATTGTAATTTTAAATTGATTGTAATTAATTGTAAATCAATTCAGCTTACTGTATTGTAACTTTGCGAGACTGATTCAAACGATAAATTCGTAAAATTAAGAAATAGAATTTTGTTAAGGAAAGAAATACAACAACTTCAGTCGTAACAAAATCAATACGATGGGGGGGGGGGGTTAATGAATCCAATGCAAACAATTATCAAAATTGGTTCTGAGTCGGTGATGTATAAAAATAGAAAATTTCCATTTGCAAAAATAGGAAGTTTTTATATTGAAACGAAATTGATCCAATTATCGGTCGTTGACAACAAATTTTCAAACCATTTTAAATGATTGTATAATTGTAAATCAATTGTTGTAATAAGTTATATATATTTATATATTCACACACATAACATATAGAATTTGTATGTATGTATATAAACAACGTTATGTAACAAAACCAATACGATGGGGGGGGGGGTTAATGAATGTGCAAACAATTATCAAAATTTTCTGATTTTTATGTATAAAATTATATTATGAAAATTTATTTTATAAATAAAATTGTTATTGTAATTAGATATTTAAGCTTAAATCACGAATTCCAGTTTCATCACAAAACTCAATTAGTATATATATATATATATATATATATATATATATATATATATATATATATATATATATATATATATATATATATATATATATATATATATATATATATATATATATATACACACACATATGTATGTATTTTATATATATTTATAATATTTCGGTATGATATTCAATATTATGTCAATTTATATTAATGGGTAAATTTAATTTTTTATATAATTTATTTTCGCCATCATTGCCCTTAAACACTTTCATTTAATAGTTAGCTTGTAAATAATGTCATATGGTATTTAGTTCGCCAAATGTACAAATTTTATTTTATTGTGCAGTGAAGAATAAATAAAAAAACAAAAAATATTACTTTACGGAATCGCTTGAAAATGACTTTGGAAAAATGAAACAGAAGTTATATACGGGATATTTTAAAAAGTAGGAGGTTCACAATTAATTAAAATTCTTGGAAACATAAACAGCGCCATCTTTTGCCTTACATGAACACTATCACATAAGGTCGTCCGCGATACATTTTCCAATATGGCGAGCTTTGGGAAAATGAGGTTTCAACTCCGTAATACTTCTATCGTTTTCAGTTTCAGTCACCGCGCGGCCGTGCACGGGTGCGGACGTGTTCGCGTGCATATGCAATATCGAATTATCAGTGTCGTTGAAATGTATGTACGAGTTTTACGGCATTATCATTAATAGTATTTATGTACATTTGAAAATTACATTTTTGAACTGTTTCCTTTCTAAGTTGTAAACTTTTAATAAGCACATATACAATGAAGTGACGATGAACGTGTTCCGTGCCATTACATTTTGAATGGATATACGATGAGACCCTTGAAAAAAGGTAATTCCGTTTGATCTTTTCGAATGTTTGTTATTTACTAGTTCTTTTTATTGGTGACTCCTCCTGCTTGACCTGATTGCAACTATTGACCTGGATTATACATACCCCAAATCCAACTTCAACCCCAATCATCTCAAATAGTGTGTATGCAATACTCCAAATTTTATGAGGATCGGTATAGCCGTTACGGCGCCAAGAGATTGCGAAACAAATAAACCTATTTTTACATTAATACTGTCAATAAGGAAGTAAAAAGTTTGTAAACTCGACTATAAGAAACATTATTTTACGTCAGAAATTTTGTTTTTTTTTTTTTACAACACAGGGGGCAAACGTGCATGCGGCTCACTTGATGGTAAGTGACTACCGCTGCCCATGATCACCCACAATACCAGCGTCATTGCAGGTGTGCTGCCGGCTTTTTAAAAAAGAATATACTCTTTTCTTGAAGGTTATGTCGTCGTATCGGTTCGGAAATAATTGATAGAATGTTTTGTACCTTTATTTTAAGTAATTAAAAAAAAACCATCTATAGTAATCAATTACTAATTTCCATCAAATAGACCGTTTGTTTGTCATTTCATGTTACATATTGTTGTGAATTTGAGCGTTAACTATGATATTTTGTTTTTAAAAAAAATTTACCAAGCCAGCATTATTCTGAACAACAAAAAAATGTTATATATATATATATATATATATATATATATATATATATATATATATATATATATATATATATATATATATATATATATATATATATATGTATTTATTTATTATATTTATTTATTTATTCATTAGTACAAATATGTGTACATGGCGGACTTGATGCTAAAAACATTTTCTCCCAGTCAATTTAGGGGGTGATAGAATGCTCGACTACGATACTAGCATTAACTGATATTCGCCATGTCGGTCCCGCCACAGAATGGACCACTTTTTTTCTATCCCATAGGTAACTAACTAAGACCTGAATAACTAAGGGCGCTTGTGGTGGAGGGTTGGGCAGCAGCGTCCCTCTTAAAACATCTGTAAAGGCCTCACTACAGTTGCTAATCCGCCTGCCAAGCGTGGCAACTACCGACAAAACTACCCTTATGGAGAAGGATTATGTTCAACAGTGCATAGTTAATGGTTGAAATAATAATAATAATAAAAAATAAGTGATATATGATACATACTAAAATTAATTTACATATACAAATAAATATATATAAATCACAAATATACTGTCACATATATAAGATATACTTTATATATATATATATATATATATATATATATATATATATATATATATATATATATATATATATATATATATATATATTATACTTCATGTATAATGAAGAGTAATAGATTGGATAAAATATAAAAGTAAACACAAACCTTTTTTTTAATAACGGTTTAGCCGGAAACCAATAACTAGATAATTGAATTTCAAAATTTTACACTATTAAATAGCTACTTTTACATTATAAATATTTTGCTAGATCTTCTATGATATCAATATAAATGTTCTTGACAGCATTTTGTTTCACACATATATTTATAGGATATTAAAAATTTATTTGTTTTTATGTGTTGGTATTATTAGATGGTAGCACAGATTTATTTTCTAGTTACATAAATACAACAGTAGTGTCGACTCTCAAATACGTAACGTAGTGATAACTTGCTCTGAATAATATACCAGCAAATAGTAATATCAATCGACTATTCTCATTTTCGTCCTAATCCAATCTGTCTCCACAAAATCGTAAAGATATTTGTTGCAAATTGAATTTAAAAGGGCTCCGTTACGATTGAATAGTCGTAGGACGTTAGCATCCCTGAATATCAATGAAGGAAATTGTGGTGAACCCGTGAAAGGTTCATTTAATTTAAAAATGGAACAATTGTTGTGGGTTCGGATTTTTTTTAATAATGGCTATGGAGACGTCACTACCTATATTGTTATAATGTATATAATAGTTAAATAATTAAAGATTGTGTCCTACGAAAAAAAACCGACTTGATTTATGACAAAACCAGTTCTTTTGGTCTAAAAATTAAAGTACTGAACCGATTTTGATAAAATATATATAAATATATCCTTTTAGACAATAAATAATTATCCAAATCTGGTTAGAAATGACGGAATTATGAGTATATACAAACATAAAATAAATACGGCCTCCTTTTTAAAGTCGATTGAAAATAATAATTACCAGAGGAAGACTTTGTACAAAAGTCGATTGCTTGGGTACCTCTGTCTCATTCGTGTTTCAACCGTGAAGCAGTTGTGTTTGCATGGCTGTGTTTCGGTTTGAAGGGTAGGATATAGCGTGAATTTACTAGGTACAGAGGAATAACACCTGAGTCCTCAGGAATTGCAACGCATAGGGGTATCATGGGCGAAACAGTATATATACTCTGTTATGTCCATGGTACTGCTCATGTCTATAGGCGACGGTTACCACTTTCCATCAGGTGGGCCGTCAGCTTTTTTGCCATTTTAGGTTGTATAAAAAAAAACAAATTGTATATGTTTAATAATTTTGTAATCATTTCATGTATATGGAACAGAATTTTATAAACACATATGTATGTACATAAGATAAAGTCCTACATGTATTTATACGAAAGCAGTAATTCTCAACCAATTTCGAAAAGAAAGTCCTCCATTTGGCGATCTCCACTATGATTTTATTTATTAATATCTACTCTCTTATCGATTTTATATTTTTACACTCTCGTTTTTCAGATTCGTAATAATCTTCCTGAAAAGAATTTACAGAGACTTTAGTATTAATACAAAACAATATTATACACGGAAATATTAAGTCTCTCTCTCTCGTAACACTAAAAAAAATTATGTGACCACATATAGACTGGCATAAGGAACGGTCCTGAGTCACTTGTATTCATTGACTCCCTACAATGCACTTGAGGTCGTCACTTCATGTAGTGTAGTAGTCCTACTCTGTGTTAGCTCGTACGGAGTCGCCACTCAAAAAATTTCTTTCCCATCGGTCGTCGGTTCTTCGAGCTATGTGACCAGCCTATACCACTTGAGCACTTTGGGTCTTTTACGGATATCCTCATTTCAGATTCCGTCACGCAAAGAAACTCTGAGCGTAGCCCTTTCCGAAACCTTTGTCTTCAAACTTTGAGGTATTTTGGATGTGAAGATGTGGCATCGTTTTTCGAACACTACTTAGCTGAGTTGGAGTCATCGTTTGACCTTTTGGTCGAAATTGGACTAACCCAGTCAGATAACTTGTTCTAGGTATACATACTCGTCGACGACTTCGAGCGTAGTGTTCTCAAACATAATCGCTATAGGTGTGACATGGACGTCGGATATGATTTCAGTCTGGTCTATGTAAATAGTATACAATAACTACAGTTGTGCCTAGGATAGGTTTTAAACAAAATCACGCAGGTAAAGCCACTATATAAATTTAGTTATCCAATTTTTACAGCTTGATAGGTAATGCAGCTGTTAATGTATTCACGAGTATATCTCCGTTATCAAATTTGACTTTAAGATTTCTTATAAATAAATAACTAAATATCAACATTAAAACAAAGTTGTTGTTTGCAAATAGAAAACAAGTCCCTTATCCGTTGCTCGAACGAGATTCGATTGTGTCTATTTGTTACTTCCCGTACCCGGTGCCTTTTTCGCTTTTCGCTCTAAGTTTTTGTATTCCCTTTGATGTTCCGAAACGTGGACCTGAAATTTCTAATTAAACACGCTCCTTCAAAACGTGTCCTTTTGTATTTAATTTGAAAATATTTGTTCTTACTGTGCTTAGGAAACGAAATATTGAAATATATATGAGGATGTCTTTGACAAAGATGGGCCCGATTTTGATGTGTCATTTCTCTAAAATCTATCTCTTAACTTAATATTTATTTGTTCTATTTCCTCGTTATTATGTCCTTACAGGATACATACCAATTCGACAACATTGGGGAAGAAGAGATTGTTAGTAATAGGGAGGTTATTACCTATCTCTCTAATTTGCTTTGACGTTTACTACGTGTTATTTACCTTGATCTATTTAGTATATTAATGTACGAGTATTTATGTTTACGTATTATTATTTATATTATATATGTACGTTTATGTATTGTAATCTTATTTTTATATTTAGAATATTTTGCATTTTGTTTGATTCCTTCTATGTATTTACTGTGTCTGACTTGCGCCATCTACCTTTCTCTCTATATTTATCCATTCTTTATGCCAGGTTGTCTGTAAGAGATTGCTTTTAGCGATAAGGCCGCCTTTTGTATATGCACATTCTGTATAAATACTCCTTGTATACATCTCTACTGTGCGCAATAAAGAGTTTATTATTATTATTGTTATCAATATATCCTATCAGGTTGACCCTCACGTAGTTCACGTCCCTCTCTGGATACCATCGTAAATTTGTCACGATGGACTAACTCCCTTGCTTTTTCGTTCTCACCAATCAATCCTCACTGGTACTCCGCAAATGTATACCAATAGCACAGGCAGGGTACCATTCCTTACTTTCCCGTGGGTGATCTAAGAAGCGAATAAGGAACTTAATCGAGGAATGACCAGCAGCTTCTCTTTTTAAACATCACCAAAGCCTGTGGTTGCCAGTCTGCGTGCCAAGCGTGGCAACAATTGGCAAAACCCCCAAAAAGGAGGGGCCTATATAAAGCAGTGGAATATGATAATATGATGACCTCCATCTATTAGAAAATTAGTTCATATTGATCCTTACAATAAATATTTCCTTATGATATCAAATTGAAAATTCAATTATGGAGGTAGGTTAAGAGAAACGAAGCCTCAGAATCGACCCCATTGGCAAAACCTCTTAATATCGGATAGATTGAATATTCTATTTGAGATAATCAATTATATTTCATTATAAGTGAATCTATAATTTCAGTAATCTTGTTAGTTTGAAACTGTTAAAGGTTTTTTTTATGCAACTTAGAATGGCAAACAAGCTGACGGCCACCCT